GTGCCCACAAGGTCCCTGCTCAAGAAAGCACTTGTCCAGGCCCGTCTGAGGTTTGCCACTGAACATCTGAATGATGCAGAGGAGGACTGGTTGAAAGTGCTGTGGTCAGATGAGACCAAAATCAACTCAACTCGCCATGTTCGGAGGAGGAGCAATGCTGCCTATGACCCCAAGAACACCATCCCAACTGTCAAACATGGTGGTGGAAACATTCTGCTTTGGGGGTGTTTTTCTGCTACGGGGACAGGACAACTGCACTGCATCAAAAGGGACAATGGACAAGGCAATGTACCGTCAAATCTTGAGTGAGCCCCTTCTTCCCTCAGCGAGGGCATTGAAAATGGGTCGTGGATGGGTGTTCCAGCATGACAATGACCCAAAACAAGGCCAAGGCAACAAAGGAGTGGCTCAGAAGAAGCACATTAAGGTCCTAGAGTGGCCTAGCCGGTCTCCAGACCTTAATCCGATTGAAAATCTGTGGAGGGAGCTGAAAGTTCAAGTTGTCAAACGTCAGCCACTAAACCTTAATGACTTGGAGAGGATCTGCCAAGAGGAGTGGGGCCAAAATTCCTCCTGAGATGTGTGCAAACCTGGTGGCCAACTACAGGAAACGTCTGACCTCTGTGACTGGCAACAAGGGATTTGCCACCAAGTACTAAGTCATGTTTTGTGAAGGGGATCAAATACTTATTTCCCTCATGAACATGAAAATCAGTGCATAATTTGTTACATGCATTTCTTTTGAATTTTTTGTTGCTATTCTGTCTCTCAGTGTTACAATACACCTACCATTCGATTTTTAGACCGATCATTTCTTTGTGAGTAGGCAAACATGCAAAATCAGTAGGGGATCAAATACTAATTTCCTTCACTGTATTTCTCTACTGTACTACAAAGCAGATGTGAAGGGGACCTTTTGTGTCAGTTAAACAGAACAGAAAAATTAGTTTCCTACAGGAAGCCTCCCTAATCTATTTTAGCACAGGTGGCTTTTGTTCAAATGATATGCATAGCCAAAAATAGGTGTTTTGCTAGTAAGAAAGCAGAACATTCCAATAAAATCAGCTCAGCTGTTTATTCACCCCCCACTGTTTGTTTGCTGTTTTTAGTTCCCGCTTTACACTTGCACAGTTGTACAGACTCCTCTCTTGAACTGAAGTTGCTTACTCCAACTTCACTGCACACTGTGAGAGTCTCACATTGTGTTTTAGAAGCTGCAGCAAACCTCCCAACTTATTTCCTGGCTGAAGGACATCCAGCACCATCTAGCCCTTTCCTCCCCAGTCTGACTGTCCCTGGCCTGCCCCTTTCATTCATTGGATTTCAGTTTTTGCCCATCATGAAGACCAAGCATGTGTGGGTGTTATCTAGGGTAGTCAGCATAAAAACGTCATCTGCTTAAGACCTCCCACTCCTTCAGATGGACACCCTCTCCCCATGAATCCATTTTGATAAATGCATACTAGCCCACTAGAGGCGGGGTACTGTGAAGTCTTAATGCGGTATTAAACCGAAAACCAAAAATATATGTAATATATATGAAATATGTAATATATTTCAGCTTACCGATCATTAGATGTGGTGGCTGCATCACTTTTCCTTTCTTTGGCTTTTTTGCCTGTTTTCACCTAGTGATCTGGCAAGTAATGACCCTCCAGCATTAGTGAGAAACAACTCTGGAGGAATGAGCACAAGAGGCACAGCAGATAGCAGTATTGTCAGTCTGGGGGGAGGGGAGTGTTAAATGTGCCAGCAGATTTAACTACAGTAACAAACTAAACTCAAACTCCAGCTCACACTTTGTCCACTTTCCGACTGCCCACAGTACTTGTGCTGCAGGCAGGCAGCGTGCACAGGGAGAGAAGAGAGAACACCACACTGAGTAAAGGCACTACATTTTACCATTTTACTCACGTTAGATTAGGACATTTAACCCTTCAATTGCCCCTATTAACCATCTGATCACCCCTGTCACCCAGCCAGTGCCATTAGTACAGTGTCAGTATATAGAATTTTCACTGATCACTGTATTACTGCCACTAGCCACATCAGATAGCGTCAGGATTAGTTAGCGCCCCTCCCATCCAGGGTCAGCCCGCACACTATCGCACTCACATTATAGGTCGCTGATCACCACCCTTACTAGTATAGTGTGTGTACGGATCAATATATAAATCACGAACAGAACTATACTAGTGCCCCCTTAGTCTAGTGTCCCCAAAAAAACTGTGTTAACAGGATCACCCCAGTTCACTGCCAGCACTAGCATTTAACCACTCCACTGTTTTTAATTGGAAACACAGGATTATTTTTTTGTTTATTTGAAACACAGACTGAGCACGAGTGTTTTCATATAAGTTCAGTGGATGGACTTTTTTCATGATTGAGTTATACGGACTTTTCCATTATAATGAATAATTGCTGGATTTATGTATTCTGATGTATTGTTATTTAACAATCTAATACTTTGGGTTATGCACTATATGTACTTCATTGAATTTTAAATATATAAAAACTTGCAACACCCACCATTTAGTTCGCTAGGGCCTCTGCTTTAAAATAATTTTTTCTAGCGTAAAAAATGTTTTTTGATGTAAAAAAAAAGTGTCAAACAAAACTTGGACTTCAAGTGGCTAGAAGAGTGGATGATGTGTGGCATAGGCTTGTAATGTTGGTCCTGAAATGCCAGGATAATAGAAGCATCCCCCCAAATGACCCCATTTTGGAAAGCCGACACTCCAGGGTATTTGCTAAGGGGAGTATTTTGCAGATCTTATTTGTTGGCACAAGTTTTTGTAAATGAAAAATGGAAAATGAAAATGTGTTTTGTTTTTTTTTTTCTTTTGCAAAACCCTGTGACAACACATACTCACCATGCCTCTTATCAAATTCCTTGGGGTGTCTACATTCCAAAAAGGAATAATTTGGGGGGGGTGCTTGTACTATCCTGGAATTTTAGGGGCCTCGGAAACTGTGATAGGTAATGGGGAAGTGACATGAGGAAATATGCCCTTTGAAAGCCTGAAGGGGGTCATTGGATTTTGGGGGCCTGTTTGTGGATAGGCTTCCAAAAAGTCTCTCACATGTGCAATCCCCATAATCGGGAGAAATCGCAAAATGTGTTTCGGGGTGTTATTCCACATATATTGCTCACACATGCCATGGGTATATCATTTAAGTGACAGCAATATCAACTCAGTATGCCTCGCCACAAATTCCTTGGGGTGTCTACTTTCCAAAACTGCCTTAGCATTTTAACTGCAAGAAATGTGATGGGCAGTCAGAAAGTAAAGCTACATAAATTCCAATATACCTACCATAGTTTGTAGACGCTATAACTTTCACACAAGCCAATCAATATACAGTTATTGGGATTTTTTAACCAAAAACATGTAGCAGAATACATTTTGGCTTAAATTTATGACTAAATTTGAGTTTATTGTTTTGGTTTTTTTTTTTATAAAGAAAGTACAAAATTAGTGGTGCACCGAAATGAATACAGCAGCCTGCGGACAGGTGACGGCGAGCGGCTTTGAGGGGCGGGGTTTTTTTCAGGACCTGTATCGATGCTTTTTTTCATTTCAGCTGACAGTCAAAAGGGGTGTTTTCGACCGAAACAATTCGGCCACTGGAATTTCGGTGCATCCCTATATAAAATATAGGGGTTTTTTTTTCAAAATGATCGGTGTTTTTTCCTTTAATTTGTTAACAAGCAATAAAAAACCCAGTGGTGATCAAATACCAACAAAAGATAGCTCTATTTGTAAAAAAAAAAAGACATAAATTTAGTTTGGGTATAGCGTTGCTTGACCGTGCAATTGCCAGCTGAAATAGCGCAGTGCCGAATAGCAAAAAATGGCCTGGTCAGGAAGGAGGGAAAATCTTTCGTGGCTAAAGTGTTTTTAAATTATTTACAGCGATTTTTTTTTTTTTTTTCCATTCGGATTAAAGGTTACATGAATAACTAAAATCTGATTATTTAAATCGTCTGTGCCTGTGGTAAATGCATTGTCACATCCATGTAAACTGATACAATCTGCTGGAGAGCTTGTGCTTCTGAAAAGCAACAGACTTGTTGGCCAGATTACTAGATGAAAATAGAAGAAAGAAGGTCTAAAAAAGTAATACAGCCATCACATCTAAAAATTAGTAAGCTACAATATAATAAATGTTTGCTTTTGGGTTTAATACTGCTTTAAGGAAGCTATGTACAACACCTTGCCATCCCTTACCACCAGCTATGATCTGCCTGCATTGCACAGAGAAGCATAATGATATTTGAATAACTCCTCTCTGCATGAAAGCTGAGGGCTCCTGACAGCAGTACTGAAGCAGGTTTCTGGCCCCACCCACCAGCCATGATCTGCCCACATTGCAAAGGAAAGTACATCCAGTGATTGCAAAGGAAAGCACAGAGATCCAGTGATTAGAACACTGGAACTAAAATACTTTAGTGAAAAATAGAAACCTTTTAAAAACATTTGTTTAGCATGTTGATGTTTAGGGTAAGGAGGAACCAAGAAAGGCAAAATATACGCAGGTTAAATTTTAGCATTACCTGTAAGCTTTTAGACTGCTAATAGCTGCTAATTCAAAGCTTCAAAGAAGTAAAGACTTATGCCCCGTACACACTATAAGAATATTGTCCAAAAATTTTCATACTAGGACCGATCGACCGATAATCAGATCGTTAGTACACAGCTTTTGAGAGCCGATCATGACAATTTGTGCGACAATATCCGAAGGGACAAGCGCAAAAATGTTTCTCATACGATACCAGATCATACAATTTTCCCTTAATCTCTACAGTAGTCGTCCGAAAATACAATACAAATACAATACAATGACATCACTTTCGAAATTCTTTTCTTTCATACGAGAATTTTAATTTTAATAACCTTTTCACTTTTGATGTGAGACTAGCAGGCGAAAAAAAGCGTTTGTCCGATATTCTCATCGTGTGTACGGGGCTTAAGGCATTCCTTAAATCCCACATTTACCTGAATGCACCATCACCCTCTGAACTAGGAGCAGTTATGTGACAAGCGTCGCCTGACAAACCATAACCCAAAATTTCGGCATAGATTTTAGCATTCCTTGCCAGAGCGTGTTGATATTCTTCTAGTATAAGCACAGCTGCTCCTTCTCCCATAATAAATCCTTCTCTTTCAGGATGGAAAGGTCGGCAAGCCTTGTCAGGAGTAGCATTGAAGCTAGTGCTGAGTGCTCGAGCCCTTGAAAATCCAGCAAGTGACAATGGGCTGATGCAGGACTCTGCTCCACCAGCCACCATAACATCAGCATCCCCATGGGTGATAAATCGAAATGAGTCTCCAATAGCATGAGCTCCTGTAGTGCAAGCGGTGGATACGGCATGATTTGGCCCTTTAAGTTTGTATTTAATACTGATTTGCCCAGCAGCCATATTGATCAATATCCTTGGAACAAAAAAGGGACTGACTTTGTTATATCCTTTTGCTTGAAATAATATGGCAGTCTCTGTGATGTCATTAAGGGGCACCATTCCCATGCCTATCGCCACCCCAGTAGACTCTTGTTCCTCTTCAGAGTTTGGACTCCATTGTGAATCGATCATCGCTTGCTCTGCAGCTGCTAACGCCATAATCGTGGCAGATGACATTGCCTTTAAATCTGACCTTGAGACATACTTTTCTTCACTAAAATCCCCTGCTGCAAGACCTCTGGGGACACGAGCAGCTACTCTGCAAGGGATATTTTTATATTCATCCCCTTGAAGAGTGACTATTCCACTTTCTCCTAGTATGAGTCGATCCCATGCCAGCTGTGTGCCAACGCCAAGAGGGGACACTATTCCAATACCTGTCACAACAACTCGACGGTGACACTTCCTTGATGTATCATTACTCAAGCCGCTTTTCTCCACACTAACACATCTAAAAGTATTATGTAGCAATGAGTAACACTGGCAGGTTCTTGCTATGCTTCTCAGATGAGAAGCCATGAGTGGTCTCGAGCCTTACACATATGCCTGAAAAGAAAAAAACAAAATACAATTACAGAGGAAAAACAATTCTATACAATATTGATATAACAAAAATGTGACATAAAACTCACTATACATATTACAATCTGACCATACAATCTTTTTAAATCCACTTAAACCAAAAGCGGTGGTTCAGCTTTAACCACTTCAAGTCCGGACACGTTTACCCCTTTCCTGTCCAGGCCAATTTTCAGCTTTCAGTGCTATCACACTTTGAATGACAATTGCGCAGTCATGCAACACTGTACCCATATGAATTGTTTTGCATTTTTTGGAGACAAAACTTTATTTTGGTGGTATTTATTCACCATTGGGATTATTTTTTTTGCTATATAAATAAAAAAGTCCAAACATTTTGAAAAAACAGTGTTTTTCTTATAAAATTTTGCAAATAAATAAATAATCTTTCTACATAAATCTTGGCTAAAATGTATTCAATTATCTTTTTAGTAAAAAAAAAAAAAATAACCCAAATTAGTTTATAATTACTGGTGCACTGGTTAACCCCCATTCTCAAAAAACCCTTGTTGGACCCCACCTCTTTGAATAACTTAAGACCCATCTCCCTGCTCCCGTTTGCCTCCAAGCTTCTCGAGCGCCTTGTTCACAACCGTATGAACTGCTACCTCACCAACAACAACCTTCTTGATCCCCGACAGTCTGGTTTCCGCCCACAACATTCCACAGAAACTGCCCTACTAAAGCTCACTAATGACCTACTAACTGCTAAAACCAACAACCATTACTCCAAACTCGTACTCCTTGACCTTTCCGCTGCCTTTGACACAGTCGACCACCCGCTCCTCCTCAGTAAACTCCACTCCATCGGCCTCCGTGACTCTGCTCTCTCCTGGTTCTCCTCTTACCTTTCTCAGCGCACTTTCAGTGTCATATACACCTCCTCCTCCGCTCCTCTTCCTCTTTCTGTTGGGGTACCCCAAGGTTCTGTTCTTGGGCCCCTCCTTTTCGTTCTCTATACCTCCTCCCTGGGCCAACTGATAACCTCCCATGGCTTTCAATACCACCTCTATGCTGATGACACCCAGATCTATCTCATCACTCCCCAGCTCACCCCCTCAATCTCCTCACGTATCACAAATCTACTAAGCGACATATCAGTATGGATGTTAACTCAATCTTTCAAAAACTGAGCTTGTAATATTTCCTCCTCTACGATCCCCCACTCATGACTTTACCATTAAGATCAAACAGCACAACCATTGGTCCTTCCCCTCATGCCAGGGTGCTATAAACGGCCACCCGCCCCTGCACTGCTCCCGTCCGGCCTTTTATATACATGGGCCAGACGGGAAGTGGTTAAGGACTCTGTTTTTTTTTTTTTTTGTGCAGTTTTGGACGAACCGGTTGACTCTTATCCTTATGACATTATTGTATTTTATTCATGCAGTATGACACTTATCAGGTTTCAATTTATGTTTAATATATGTCCACTATATGTTTATACACGTATATGCATTCTATTGATTACTCAACAATTGTAGCTATCAGGTCCTTCAGTTCCACCCTCAAAGGCATTTGGTATGCTTGTCATCCCTGCCCATGGGTGGGTCTTAAATCACCCACCCTCCGGATACCAGGATATTTAAGAGAGGATACAGGCATTATAGCTATTGGCTCTGAGGAAGAGGCAAGTCCTCGAAACGCGTCAGCCAGTTGGAGGTCTAGGAATCTGATTATGGATATCATCCAGTGAGACTGGACCTTGCTGTATTTTGTATGTTGTGCCCTTGATATTGTATCCTTTGTGAGTATATTACTACTTCTTTTATACAATAAATTATTTTTTAAAAAGGTAATGCACTAGGCCTGTGCGCCCTTTGTTTGTTTCTTTGCATGCAGTACATTTGGATTTCCCTGGTCCGTTGAGGGCAGCAAGGCGTGCATTTTCAAGGAATCCTACATGTGGCTCTAGCCTTTGTGGAGTCCATCTTCCAGTGCAGCGAGTATATGCATTTGCCATTTTTTGTCATTATTCTTTGTACTCCCCAGCTTTGCAGCACCAGAATATTTATCTTGGTCTCATCACTCCAGAGTACAGGGTCCCCAGTAGTTGTCTTCTTTTTCAACATGGGCCCTGGCAAATTCCAGATGCGCTTTTTTGTGCATAGGCTTTGGCAGTGGCTTCCTTCATGGATGACACCCATGCATGCCATTCCTCTGCAGTGTACGCCGTATTGTGTCAGGAGAAACAATCATCCCAGTTTGGCTTCCTACTTCTTTAGCTAACTGCAGTGAACCTGCATGGCGATTTTCTTCAACCCTTCTCATTAGAAGACACTTCTGTCGAGGTGTTCCCTTCCATGGATGCCCTGGACGTCTCTGTGAGATGGTTGCAGTTCCATTTCGTTAAATTTTTGTATCACTTTTGCTACAATATTCTGACTGATAAGTAAAGCTTTTCTGATCTTCTTGTAGCCTTCACCTTTCTTGTGTAAAGAAATTATTTTCTTTCTCCGGCCTTGTGACATTTCTCTTCCATGTGGTGCCATTGCTGACATGAAATGGGAAGGGGTTTTCTTTGTTAAGTAATTGCCTTTTATAATCAACTGTCTGCTGGACACCTGTTTTATGAATAATTAGATTCACCTGTAGTTGAATTCTTGTTAATTAGGATTTTGTTGTCTAAAATTTAGCTTTGCACCTAAGGCTACATTCACACCTATGCAGGTTGCATTCAAGCCATTTCTGCATTTTTTGCGTTTTTGTTTTTTTTTTTTGCGTTTTTTTTTTTTTCCTCCATCTTTTAAAAATTTTTTCTTGTTGCTAGGCAGATTTAAAAACACAAGATGCATCAAAAACGTGGAAAAACTGCACATGCTTTTCTGCATTTCTATTGAAGTCTATAGAGCCAAAAACGCAACTTTTTGCGTTCAAAAAAGTCCCTGACCCTTTCCAAAAAAACACACCGAAAATGCAGACATGTGAACATGCCCATAGTAAATCATGTTAAATGGACTGTACTGCGTTTCTGCAAAGCGCTACGGAATACGCTTTGATGTGAACCTAGGATTAGACTTTCATTGGCATGGATTCATTTTTGCCAACATGGTCTTGAATTGAATTTGTTAGGAAAAACACTTTTTTGTGTGTGGAAATTAACAAATCTTGTTTGCAATCAATGGCCTGCATATGTGGGAGTATTTTGAAGTATAGTGTCCCATAGGAAATGTTGATTCGGAAAGGAAAGGTTTTCTGACAAATCTGTTTGGGTTTATGCTGAGCACTGTATGCATTACACAGACCTTGTCTACTGTTGTCACCATCAACCCCCTGAGGATACTGTCACACTGTCCTGTTGCAAAAATGTGGTAAAAACATATATGCTTTTTTACCTGTGGAAAAAAGACACATGACTCAATAAAGGCACCAAAAACACAACTGCAGGTGTGTTTTTGATGCATGTTCCATTCATTTCAATGGGGAGGTGTGTTTTTTTTACAACACCAAACATGCACCAAAAACGCAGCTTGCAGAACTTTGAAAAACGCAATGGACCCACAACTGATCAGTATGAAGAATTCCATAGGATGTAATGGTCATGCATTTTTCTTACGCTTTTTTAATGTAATAATGGAAGAAAAACTGATCCGTGTGAAAGCAGGTTGAGAAATGCCATGCTACAAAAATACAAGTACTGTAGCTTGAAAAACAGTCACAGTTAGTCAGCTTGAAAAAAAGATACAAGTCCATCTAGTTCAACTAACAGAAAAGAAAAAAAATACAAACAGAAAACCTCCATATGCACAATCCTATACCCACAGTTGATCCAAAGGAAGGCAAAAAAAACCCCAAATGATTCAATTTATGCCAGCGAGGGAAATAAATTCCTTCCTGATCCCCCAGGAGGCAATCGGATATTCCCTGGATCTATTACATCTGATGGTATTACCTATAAATATTAGTATCCAGTTATATTTTGTGCATTCAGGAAAGAATTTGGGCCTTTTTAAACCTACTAATCTACTGACCTGGCCAGAACCAGCTCTTGAGAGAGTCTATTCCACATTTTTACTGTGAAGGACCCTGTGACAGACCGCCTGGCCCCCCCAACTGGCTGCCTCCACCAAACAGTGCCTCCTGTCCTTCAGACCTGTCCAGCAAACCGATAGCTAATACCAGCCCTTTACCGCAAGCATCATACACAGATAAGATGTTGTGGTAAAACCAAAGGAAAAACTGTTTATTAAACCCCAAACACATTTTATACCCCCAGGACATTCCCCTCTTGGGGTGTGACAGTGTGGTGATCTGTTACGATGTAAAAAGGATATTATTTTGCCCCAAATTCTCAACAAGGCAGGTTGAGGGGCTCCAGGGTGCTGGTTTAAGTTGGAGGGAACTGTGTTTTCAGTTTCCTTGGTTCTTTGTAAAACTTTGGGACCTGGAGATTTCAGTGATCTGGGTGGGAGGAAATCTCCAGTCCTGAGACCAGGTTTTGGGAATGGCCAGGAGACTGATTGTGCAGGTGTGTGTAGGTCTCTTCTAGAGTCAGGACCAGGGTTCTGGGCTCTGGAGTCCATGTGGGTGCAAGGAAGCAGCCACAACCATGCATGGTGAAGTCTAACAGAAGACCCAAGCCTGTAGGCTAGAAAAGCAGGAATGCGGCAAAAGAGCGCTAACCAAGGTAAAGCGTTTGTATGTGAATGGTGCAGAAGACTGAGGCATAAAGCCTAAGCCGCGATGCTGCAAAAGAGAGCCAGGAGGCTGAATCATAGTTTTGCATTGATGGTGGATACCCCTACATGGGAAACATACATTGTATGGACTTTTCTTTTGTTTTCTTTAATAAAAGTGGGCCAACAAGCCTTTAAACAATCATTTCTGGTGTGGACTCTACTCACTGGTAAGCGCTATCCTGAGCTAATTAACCCCCAAATATTAAAGAGGATATTACCATAGGTAAGATAAGACGTACTACCAGTGAAAAACATGAAAAC